GATCAGCTCCTTCATTAATGTTGCCACGGTTCCTCACCTGATTGTAGTAACCAGCCCTGCTGCTAATCAGTACAGCCTATTTAAGCAGCAAGTCCCAGTACCTCCTTGCCCTTGCATGGTTTCCTGTTTCCCAGCAGACTTCCTGTTTATTCCTGGTTCCTGACTTCTGGCCTTGTTTCTGACTCTGCTGCTCTCCATTCTGATGCCAGCTTGACTGACCTGCTTGCTTCCTGGACTTTGTTTTTGGTTTATTTAAGTTTTGCTATTTATTAATAAAGATGTTTTGCATCTACGTTCTGTCTCTGTCTGGTTCCTGGTCCCTAATACTTGGCTCACCAGGTCTCACAAAGAAGATTCATGCCAGTGTGTACCTGTCTAAGCTCAGTCTCAAAGTGTGCAGCAAAACCCTACGTTGGATTTTGCTTTGGATTTATAGAGTTTCCCTCGACCTGCTTTTCTTTCAACTAGGGATGCACCATTGGCCAAGGCCCATGTAGTTTATATCACAGGAATGAGGCAATTTCCCCCAGAAAATCAGATCACTCCTTCCTTATTATTTTCTATATGAATGTAATTTGGGGATTTGAAATGTTTTTACAATAATCACCCCGTGGTTCTGGGTATTTGCATCTGTAACTTTTTTTATGGCATTATTAGAATGATAGTTTTACCATTAACATCTTTTACTAAATTACTAAAGGCAATTAATTATATCCTTCCAATGAGTATAGTAGTTGAATATTTAACAGTGAAAAAAATACGTGATATGCGAATAAGACTCACATTTTGTAGAGAGATACAGGGTTTCCCACAAAATAGGGATACAATCCTTAATAAATGTAGTCTGAATTTAATTGAATATACACTGAACAAAATTATAAATGCAACACTTTTGTTTTTACCCCTATTTTTCATGAGCTGAACTCAAAGATCTAAGACTTTTTCTATGTACACAAAAGGCCTATTTCTCTTAAATATTGTTCACAAATCTGTCTAAATCTGTGTTAGTGAGCACTTATCCTTTGCCGAGATAATCCATCCACCTCACAGGTGTGGCATATCAAGATTCTGATTAGACAGCATGATTATTGCAAAGGTGTGCCTTAGGCTGGCCACAATAAAAGTCCACGCTAAAATGTGCAGTTTTATCACACAGCACAATGCCACAGATTTCGCAAGTTTTGAGGGAGCGTGCAGTTGGCATGCTGACTGCAGGAATGTCCACCAGAGCTGAATTGAATGTTCATTTCTCTACCATAAGCCGTCTCCAAAGGCGTTTCATAGAATCTGGCAGTACATCCAACCACCCGGACATCTGCTGCAACAATCGGTTTGCATAATTTCTACACAAACTGTCAGAAACCGTCTCAGGGAAGCTCATCTGCATGCTCATCGTCCTCATCGGGGTCTCAACCTGACTGCAGTTCGTCGTCGTAACTGACTTGAGTGGGCAAATGCTCACAAATGATGGCGTCTAGCACTTTGGAGAGGTGTTCTCTTCACAGATGATGTTTAATGTACAGGGTAGATGGCAGACAGCGTGTAAAGCCTTGTGTGAGTGAGCGGTTTGCTGATGTCAACGTTGTGGAATGAGTGGCCAATGGTGGCGGTGGCGTTATGGTATGGGCAGGGGTATGTTATGGACAACAAAGATACTGTGACGAGATCCTGAGGCCCATTGTTGTGCCACTCATCCACGACCATCACCTCATGTTGCAGCATGATAATGCACGGCCCTATGTTCCAAGGATCTGTACACAATTCCTGGAAGATGAAAATATCCCAGGTCTTGCATGGCCAGCATACTCACCGGACATGTCACCCATTGAGCATGTTTGGTCTGCTCCGGATCGGCGTATACGACAGCGTGTTCCAGGTCCTGCCAATATCCAGCAACTTCTCAAAGCCATTGAAGAGGAGTGGACCAACCTGATCAACTCTATGCGAAGGAGATGGTGGTCACACCAGATACTGACTGGTTTTCGGACCCCTCCAACATAGTAAAACTGCACATTTTGGAGTGGCTTTTTATTGTGGCCAGCCTAAGGCACACCTTTGCAATAATCATGCTGTTTAATCAGCAGCTTGAAATGCCACACCTGTGAGGTTGATGGATTATCTTGGCAAAAGAGAAGTGCTCACTAACACAGATTTAGACAGATTTGTGAACAATATTTGAGAGAAATAGGCCTTTTGTGTACATGAAAAAAGTCTTAGATCTTTGAGTTCAGCTCTTGAAAAATGGTGGCAAAAACAAAAGTGTTGCATTTTAATTTTGTTCAGTGTAGATTGGAAAGGATAAATGAGGAATTGGCCGACATACGACAAGAGATTTTTGACGTTGTGACAAGTTACAACAGATTGACAATAAAGGATATCTTTGAATAAATCCCGATAGAGAATCCCGATATATTGCAAAGGAAATGAAATATATTTGAATGGGACACTTTGAGTTATCTTCAGGATAAGGTATATACTCGGAGAGATTTTCTTTTTTTATAATTTGTAGTTTATTGTATTATATACAAACAGTGCAAGTAATTAATCTTAGTATGTATGTCAAAAAGTATACAAAGGTAGGTGACATGAGAACATACTCCATAAACAGATAATGTGAGGAGGGGAAGTGTTAGGGAAAGTACATGTTAAGCACAGATTTTAACATGGCTGCAGAAGGTGATTACATTCAGATGTATCAAGGTTATTGTAAAGGAAACTGATAGCATCCTTATTTAAAAAATATTTTTTCTAAAACCTCCATATTTACATGCTCATATCTGGTAGTTAATCTGATTAACTGTGTTAAATAGTTTGATTTCGTGTCATGTACAATTACATCATCATGCTCAGACGGAGCATTGGTGGGTGGGTCAGTCTACGTGGAATACAAGTTGTCAGCCATATTTTTAAAAGTCTGTTCTATTGGCCATCATTCAAATTTAGCTTCTCTATGTTTGATTCAGATATATCTGTGTTATCAAAGCATCCATTGATATGGAGGAATTTATTTGGCTACTTTCATCAGCTGCTCTTGGATTTTTAATTTTAAGTTTTATATTTTGGAAAACCTTGTTAATATTGCACAATATCATACTGACAGTTTAGAACTCCAGCATGTAGCTTGCTCAGAGAGATTTTAGATGGAAAACATTGTCAAGGACAGCTTAAACACATACCTTCCTCCAAAAGTGCTATTGAAGGTACTACTGATAGTGAAACACGAACAACTAGTATGAATAGTTTGATAAGAGCAGAAGGAAGCACAAGAATAACTCAGAGGAACAAATGAATTACAATTTGGTCTAAACTGTTATCGACTGAGCAAGAGAGTAATACAAAAAGGTATGGTCTTTGCCCCTACTTTTAATGATGACAAATTGAAATTAGACTGTGAGTGTATAACTTTTTTACTGCATTGCAAATTAAGGCTTTTTTTCATTGTAGAGTTTAAACATATGGGCACTGTAACAAATAACAATAACAAATAAATAGCATTTTTGGATTTGCAAGTTATTAGCATTTTTGGATTTGCAAGTTATTAGATTTGTAGTCTTAAATTCTTTATTTTAATTATTTTATTTATTTTTATTGAAATGAAAGTGTTTTTAGTTTGTTTGTTTTTTTAATATAAACTCTAGTCAGGTTAATTTTTAAGTTGGGTGCACCCCTAGAGATCTTTTCAAATGTCATCTTATTTTAAAACATCTTCTCCCATGTCCTACCTCCCTCTACACTAACTATCTTCGATCTCCTCACCAGTCCGAGAGGGCCCAAAGCAAGTGAGCAGGGCCCACTCTCCATATCAAAGGATCTCCCGTACAGGCCTCGGTACATGAGCAATGCGGTGGGGCCCGTATGCTTGTGGAACCCCCGGGCAAGTACCCAGCGTGTCCATGCACAAAGATGCCCTGCTGGGTTCCCCATAATGCACTGCAACCATCACTAAAGATGGCGGCCGAGCACATGATTATTATTATCCATTTTAAACACCAAAAAGCTTTGTTTTTATATATTAATCTAACCTTGATATCTACCAACTCATACCCAATAAATAAAGTAAGCTTTTAAAGAAAATATAATTAATTAATATTATGATAATGACATCATTATGGTGCCAAGTTTAAAATTGTCAAACCTTCATTTCCCTATAAAAACCCTTGCATGCCAGGTCACTATTTCCATCTCCACTTGAAAAAGCCCCTGAGGCGAAACATGTTGTGGTTACTTCATATGCTGTTTTATCCTGTTTTAGATTTGTAAGAAGAAAGGTATTTTGGCTTAAACTACACTTTATAGAGTGTGCCATTCTACTCTTTTTTATTGTTTTTACTTCATACTGCCGGGCACTTGATTTTTACCCCCAGTGAGTACTACTCTCAAGACATCCTTGGTGAGGATTATACCAACCATGCCCTATCCACAGAGCAGTTTACCTGCTCTGGTAAATGTGAGTACGTTCTTCATTTATTTTTTAACTCCTGGTATTTTATACAGTGAGCACTATAGTTGTTTCTTTTTTTATATTTTATGGTCCTTATACTACAAAGACACTGCTCTCATGTATTCTTGCAAGTGGGGATTGTGCCACTGTATGCCATTCATACTGGAGCTAGTTACAGCTCCATAAAACGTGAGTAGGACTATTTCTTATTCCTTTTAGTTATTCCCTGTTAGAACATACTACCCTATTATTCCTTTTCTGTTGTTTCATATGGACTTCACTGCTGAACTTACCCTGGTACTCCCATTGAGGAATTACGCAGGCACTCTGTGAACAAGCACTTTTGGCAAGTGTATTTTCACTCTACAAACTTGGACTTTCAAATATGGGACTTTTTTCCCCTCTTGGGACTTCAATATATATACCTGAGTGCTATATTATAGCTTCCTAAGTTTTTCTATTTATTCATTATTCTGTACTGTATATTTTACTGGAGAAGCTCACATTCCTGCAACAGTGGGATACCCAGCCAAGCCGAACACCGCATGGCGTGGCCACGATGGCAGCTATGCCTCAACATCCACGATACCAAGATGACACAACAATCCAGGCCTGGAAAGAGTGCTTTGAAAACAGATTTGACAAGGTCTGTCAGCGGCTCTGGGAGCGCTTTTATTGCCAAGCCCGTGCCACCATCTCATCTGCTGAGCCTGTGATCCACGTCTCTGCAAGGGACTATGGATCCCATTCTGGCCCTGAGGCCCTCATGGAGGAATTTTCAGCCAGCCACCCACACACCCTAAAGTTCCCCCTTGTACTGGAGTTCTCTCGGGCCTGCACTCATACCGACCGGAGAAGAAGGATTCTTGGTGGTGCAGCAAGCAATGGCTCCTCTTGAGGCCTGGACACTGGTGGAGGATGGACTCTGGTGAGGCTAACTCTCCACTGCTCACAAGCTCCAGCATGATGCCTTCTCTACAAGAGGGCAAATAAAGGCAACGCACCCCGCATAACTGTGGACTGTCCTCTGCAGCATCCATGTGGGGTTGAATGAATCCTGGATATCCCACTTACACTTGGTGACTCTTCTTACTATGGCAGGGTCTTCTATGCTCCTTCACACTTACTTCCTCATAGTGATGAGAACCCAGTGGTTCTAAAGCTACATATGTATTAGCTAATATGTTATACATCAACCTTTAACATGCTATAAATTTCCTAATTGTGTTTTACTCTATCCTTGTGTAGTCAGTGCCTTTATTCTCAAACCTCAGTTAACTCTTATCGGGACCTGCCCTGACTCATTTTTCTCATGTTATACTCTTTATATAAATGTAAAAATAGTGCAGTAACTGATATTTTATGTTACGCTTGTTCCTGACATTATTCCTGTTAAAATGTCCATTTACGCTTGTACATTACCAAACGCACCGCAAAAATAAAGAATATTTTTAAAAACCTCATAAAATTTGAGAGAATACCCGATACCCAAACTAAACTTGGTATTAGAACAAAATCACACGGCTTTAACCTCGTTGGTACCTCGTTGGTATGATGCATCGGCCTAACAGTAGACACTGCGAATAGAGCTCCATTCTGTCAGCAGAGTTGACAGGTAAAGGGGAGTAACATTTTCATTTAATTTACATTATGTTTATTGTTTTTCCCTATGATTTTATGCATGTATGGTATTATTAAACTGTAAAATTTGTGTTAAAGTGCGGTTATTTTGGGGGTCTGGAATGAATTCATTTAATTTACATTAATTCTTATGGAAAACGTTGATTCGGTTTTTCGAACAAATCGGTTTTCAAACAGCCTTCTGAAATGGATTAAATTCAAGTTCCAAGGTTGCAATGTATTAACTAATTAGATTACAATTTTTTTTTATAAATTCTTTATTTTTGAGTCTTCAAAAGAATAATTTTTTTTTTTTTTTTGTAACGTTATGGGGTACAGAAAGGAAAAAGGGGTGCAACATGTTACAATTATATTGGTTACATTTGTACTCATTAATATATCCCTGTTTACATTCACTGTTTCAGTTGTCCAACATTGCCCTGTGTCTGGAAGGGTCGGGTGGGTAAAATGGATGGGGGTGTCCCCTCTGTTTGGCGTAACCACCGTTTACCCTGAGTTTAGGTAATGGGCCCTAGGCGAAAGGTTTTGGTGATGCGTTGTGAGGCTCAAACCTGGCCTTCGCCTAGTTCATGGGCCTTGTGAGGTGTCGTTGTCATACTCTGTCTGTTGCGTTGTGCTGTCTCCGTCCTCTGGGGGTGAGGTGGTGCCTCTGGGGTCGGGGGTTTAGGGGTTTAGAACTTGGAGAGTGTCCTTGTGTCGTAATGTCATTTTGTTGTGTGTGGTTGAGCTTGTGGAGTTCACCTGAGTTAGGTCAGGTGGTTGCTTGTAGTCGTAATGTTTGCAAGTTTATGTAATTGTTTTCTGTTGATTGTGGTGTTTTGATGTGTGGTGTGGATGGGTATGGGGCAGGGGTGGAATGTGGCAAAGAGGGGGGGGCAGTTCTCTCCCCCCCCCCTTCCCCGCTCGCGGTGTCTTACAATGTCAACCAGGGGTCCCAGATCTTATAGAAAGATCTAGTGTTCTCGTGTATTAGTGCGGACAGTTCGTCCATCTCCATGGCCTCTTTAATCTTTCTCTGGGCCTCCGAGGCCGTTGGGATTTCTGGGCTGCCCCAGTGGGTAGCTATAGTTTTACGTGTTGCTAAGGCCACCTTTGCTACTAGTTTGTTTTGTGCTTGGGTCAGATTTTCTCGGGGCCTGGACAGCAGCCAGGTCCATGGGTCTAGGGGGATGTTCGTTTGTAATGCTCTCGAGGTGGCAGCGGCCATCTCTTTCCATATTTGAGTTAAGTGTTGACATTGCCACCACACGTGAATGTATGTTCCCTTTTCGCCACATCCCTTCCAGCATCTGTCCGAGTCTGTGCGTTTCATTTGTTTGAGTCTCAGGGGGGTAAGGTACCACCGAAGCAGGGTCTTATACGCCTGCTCTCTGTGGTTAACACAGATAGTCACTGTCGCTGTTGCTTCCCATATGTCAGCCCAGTCCGAGGGGTCCCCAGGGGGACCAAGATCCCTTTCCCAGGCCTTTATGTAGGAGAAGGCGTCAGGTGGGGCTTTAAGCGTTATGAGGTTGTATAGGTTGGAGATTTGGCCCTTGTGTATTGGGTTGTTCAGGCAGCCCCTTTCGAATGCAGTGGGTTTCAACACTGCCGCAGCGGCTATGTTAGGGGTTGACAAGAAGCTTCGGAGTTGGAGGTATCGAAAGTGGTCGAACGTGTTATACGGTGTGTCGTTTGCCAGTTCTGGGAAGGGAATAAGGCGGTCGTTCCTGTAAAAATGACAGATTCACGTGAGGTCATTGTCCTCATATCTGGTGAAATGTTGGGGCATCATTCCCGGGGTGAATTGAGGGTTTCTCAGAACGGGCATAAGGGGTGAGGGTGTATTTATGAGGTTGTATTTGTCGGTCACCCTGTTCCAAATGTGGATGGCTGTCGTGAGGGCTGGTGTCGTGTTGGGCTGTTGTGGTCTGTGTGTTTTCGGTATCCATAGGTAGAGAGTTGGCAGGTCCCGTCCGAATAGGTCGTGTTCCAGGTCCACCCAGCGCTTGACCCCTGGGGGGGCATGCATGGTTTGGGTTTGTGCAAGTTGGGATGCTTGGTGATAGTCCCAGAAATTTGGCAGGCCTAGTCCCCCTTTTTTGTGTGGAATATACAGGGTAATTCGTTTTATTCTAGCTCTTTTCCCTGCCCAAATAAATTTATCAATGTGCATTTGGAGATTTTTGAAGTCTGCTTGTGAGAGTGGGATGGGGAGGGCCTGGAAGAGATAGAGAAAACGTGGCAGTAAGTTCATTTTAATCGCTGCCAGCCTCCCAAGCCAAGAGATGGATAATTTTTGCCAGGTTTGCAGGTCTCTCAGGGCCTGGTCGATTAATGGGGGATAGTTTAGTCTGTATGTAGGATGTAGGTCTGCCGGTATATCTATTCCTAGATAATGAATACTTTGCGTTTGGAAGCGGAATGGGTAGTTTTGTTGCAGTAGTGTTCGTGTGTGAGATGGGGTCTGGATTGTCAGGGCTTCAGTTTTCTCTATGTTGAGTTTATATCCTGAGATTTTTGCGTATGCCTCTAGTAAGTCTAACAGTGGGGGTAGGGATGTCTCTGGGTCGGTCAGGGTTAGAAGCAAGTCGTCCGCATATGCTGCCACTTTGTATTCCTCCCTTGTATGGCCGGTGTATTGCGGATCTGTTGTAAGAGGGGTTCGAGGGAGAGGGCAGAGAGGAGGGGGGACAGGGGGCACCCCTGCCGGGTGCCGTTTTGTATGTGGAACGGGGTTTGGCGAGCATTTGGTATGAGTAGTTGTGCTGTCGGGTTGGTGTAGAGGGTGCAAATTGCTTGTAGGAGGGCCCTGGGGAAGCCGAACCTCGTCAGGACCGCAAATAAGTATGGCCAGAGGATCCTGTCAAATGCCTTTTCGGCGTCTAGGGATAGTAGTAGCATTGGGATCCGTCTGTGGTTGGCTGTCCAAATTAGGTCATAGGTGCGTCTTGTGTTGTCATAGGCTTGTCTATTGGGTATGAAGCCCACTTGGTCTGGGTGGATCAGTTTCGGGAGAAAATGTTTAAGTCTGTTCGCAATGAGTTTGGTAAATAATTTAACGTCTACATTTAGGAGTGAGATGGGGCGGTAGTGTCCCGGTTCTTGTAGGGATTTATTCGGTTTTGGTATTAGGCTAATATTAGCTTGGAGCAGTTCCGCTGGGAGCGGTTCTCCTTTGAGGATTGATGTGAATAGCTCGCTAAGATGTGGGAGTAAGGTTGCGCAGTATGTTTTGTAGTATAGTCCCGAGTAGCCGTCGGGGCCCGGGCATTTGTTAGGTTGTAGAGCCTTAATCGTCTCTGCCACCTCCTCAATTGTAACTTCTGCTGCTAGTGACCCTCGTGCTTCATCAGTGAGTTGCGGTAGAGGTATGCTTTGTAAGTATCGTGCTATGGCTTCCTCTGTGTCTTTTGCGTTGTGTCGAGATTGGGGATCATGGTCATAAAGGGAGGTGTAAAATTGAGTAAAGGTTTCTGCTATCTGTTCAGGGAGGTTTTGTGTTTGGCCGTCCGGTGTGTTAATCGAGGTTATTCGGTTCCGTTGTCTTTTCTTTTTAAGTCTGTTGGCTAGGAGTGAGTCTGCTTTGTTAGATTTCTCATAAAACATCTGCCTTGTCCAGAGCAGTGCTTTTTTCGAGTCTTGGGCCATGAACTCCTGGATCGCTTGTTTGTGCATCTGTATCTGTTGTTGTAAGATGGGGGTGGGGTTTTGTTTGTGCGCGTGTTCCGCCTTGCAGAGTGCGGTGAGGTGTTGGTGTAGTCTGGATAGTTTCTCCTTTTTGTGGGCCGAGGCCGCTGAGATGAGGCTGCCTCTAATGACTGCTTTGTGTGCCGCCCATAATGTGCCTGCTGAGGGTACCGAGCCTGTATTATTTGTAAAGAAGTCTTTTATGGCTTCGTTGATTGTGTTTTTGATGTGTGGGATGTGGAGTAGTGTAGGGTTTAGACGCCAAGCCCATTGTCTGGTCGTGTTTGGGAGCTGTATAGTTATGGTAATGTCCGCGTGGTCTGACCACGTGATTTGTCCGATCTCTGTCCTATCTGTGTATTGCATTAGGGATGGGGAGGTCAGGAACATGTCTATACGTGAGTAGGACTTGTGTGGGTGGGAAAAGAACGTGTAGTCCATTGTTTGTGGGTGTTGTGTTCTCCACATGTCCACTAGATTTGTGCTTGTTAAGAAAGAATTGAATAGTTTGTCTGTTTTTGCATCTGGTGGGGGCGACAGTCCCCGGCTTTGAGTTCTACGTCTGTCATTGGACGGTGACGGCACCGC